AGCAACTCTCTGCGTCTGCTCAGTCTCACGTTGACTGCTGACCTGAGATGGAACAATACATTGAGTCAATTGCTTCGTCCACCGCAAGGAAAGTTGGCTCTCTGTGCCGCGCCAGGAAATTTTTCTCCCCGGAATCGATACTTCAAATCTACAAATCAACCATTCGCCCTTGCATGGAGCATTGCTGCCATATATGGTCTGGTGCCCCTTCTGTTTGCCTCGGAGTTCTTGACAAGATCCAGAGATGGATATGTAATATAATTGGCCCTGATCTGGCGTCTCGTCTCCAGTCACTCTCTCACAGACGCGCCGTCGCCTCTTTCTGTCTTTTCTACAAATACTTTCATGGTAATTGCTCCGATGAGCTGCTTTCACTGGTTCCCAGACTCCATGAATTCAAGCTCCCTACGAGGCTGGCATCCCGCTCCCACCCTTACACTGTAGAAACTTTTAAATGTAGCCGTCTCTTCTACTCCAATAGATTCATGTCTCGCACCTTTCGCCTGTGGAACATCCTTCCCAATTACTGTTTCCCTGAGAGCTATAATCTCCAACTATTCAAATGTAATGTCAATCGACATCTCCAGTTACCTTGATCTATCCACTATCCTTCTCCTCATCCTTTCTTCTATCACTCCTATCTGCTCTTGCTCCAAATCTTCTGCAACCCTCTGCATCCTAGTGGCTTCACGCCTTGCTCGAGGCGTAATGCTTAAAAAAACAAAACAAAACAAAAAAACAAATAAACAATCGAAATACTTCTAAATTGAATCGCCATCTTGAAATTGTCCTATAATGACAAGGTCGCCCATTTGGAAGATTCCAAATAAACAGCAAATGAGAACAGTAGACAATATAAAGACAGTTGCATTTCGTTATTTTTAATTTTTTGCATTTTCTTTTTCTGACGAGTAAATTGAACATAATATATTTTCGTTCATGTCTTATTGTCTGGCATTTCGATCATCTATAGTTTAAAGTAGTGAACATCAGCTGAAACTTAATGACTAATAACCAGTTTTACTCTGTTTAATCAATCTTTCAGTGTAGTTCCTTAATAAACTAAGCTTTTATCTTCATAATAGTCATTACCCAATACAAGAGCTGCAAGATATAACTTTACTGAATGACCTTGTTTCATAAACGTACGATGATCATTGACCGACCGATTTGATTTTTTATACGCTATAAACCCTTTTCAAGTTATTTAATGCTATAAAATAAGTTTTAACACCAGCAATACTCATTTTGAAAAAAAATTACCTGCAATACATTTTTGAAAAAAAAATATTACCAACAATATATTTTTGAAAAAAAATATTACCAGCAAGAAAAATCTTGTCGGCATTAAATAACCCATTGAGGTTGATATACCGTAAAATAAACCAAACCAAACCGGGTCATTCTATATGTGACGGTTGAGCCGAACGAATATGTATACTTATTTAGTTAAGGGAGGCTTAAATTTAAATTTGAAAGTCTCAATCTGATGAGGTTATTTAAGAATATGAAATGAGATTTTAGGCTAAGGTATACGTCCATCACAGTCTATTCCATATTCAGTTTCTTCTCTACTGATCCTATTCAAGAAAGTCCTTCACCTTTTTCTGCTGAGGTCGGCCTTAGTTTTTGACATTAGACTATGCCTGACCGGAAGTTAGATAATAAAGCTACAGAATAAATGTCGACAAATCGTTTTATTTTGTTCGTTTGGACGCAATCGTTTATTAAGCGTTCGAATTCTCTTTTGATTTTCATCCCGTTCTCATTTCTTCTTTTGAATGCACGGCTTCCATTCTCTCCAATGCAGAATAAATAAAAACAAATCGCTTTTTAGTATTAATGACTCATTTTGAATGCTCCAGAGCAAGAAGAAAGAACCATATGAAAAGAGAGAATAGATGATTGTCAGCAAAAGGGACTGCCCAAATTATCAGGTACGTATTGGGGATGTCGAAATCAAACAGAGATATTTAACTGTAAGAGGATGAGTCCGAAATGCGATTTGCAGGTCGAGAACACTAGAATCAAGCAGACGCAGAAGTTTCAATATATGGGAAGCGTTTTGACAGAGGACGGTAAGTACGACACTGAGATCCGTAGACGTATTGGGATGGCCAAGGACGCATTCCAAAAAATGGACAGAGTAGTGCAAATGAGAACAGTAGACAATATAAAGACAGTTGCATTTCGTTGTTTTTAATTTTTTTGCGTTTTTTTTTTCTTTTCCAACGCGTAAATTGAACTTAATATATTCTCATTCATTGTCTGGCATTTCCGTCATCTATAGTTTAAAGTAGTGAACATCAGCTGAAACTTAATAAATAATGACCAGTTTTACGCTGTTTAATCAATCTTTCAGTGTAGTTCTTTAATAAACTAAGCTTTATTCTTCATGCAAGTCATTACCCAATACAAGAGCTACTCACGTTTACTGAACGACCTTGTTTTTACGTACGATGATGATTGACTGGCTGATTTGATTTTTTTTATGCTCTATCAATCTTTTTCAAGTTATTTAAAGCCATAAAATAGTTTTCGATTGTCGGAATTATTTGGAGATGATAATGATTTTTTTCCAGATACAAGTGTTACTTCTTGGTTCATAGCTGGGGGATAGAAGAGGTGAATTTATGCCTTTCCCAAGGATATTTGCGCGTAAGTGGATATAACAAACACAACTGGAATTGGAACTCGGCTCTTCGATTTCTAATTCTGAATCGTTATTTACACCACCTGCACATCCAAACTTACTGATATTTCGAAGCGGTTGCCCAGACTTGGCGTTGCTAAACATCGGTGATCGGTTGAGAACCGATGTTTGAACGTGATACGGGCGTAAATCCGTAAGAGGAAGAATTAAGAAGTAAAGATTATGAAGATATCTAGGATGGATAAAGGTTGAAAGTTGGCTTGAAGATTGCAGTCGACGGGGAAGCACGATCTCAGATGTTTCATGTACAAAGTAACATTTCTACTAATCACTCCCTATTCAATGTGACTATGAAAGACAAAAGTAATCGAAAATAACAAGAAAAACCACGAACTATTGACAGTTTTTGAACTACTTTGATCTCACTATAAAAACACTCGTTTGTAACATTATTTACATTAGTCGGACTATTGTCCTCATCTTTGTCGCCATATTTATTACAACGTTTCGGCCGTTGTACGGCGACAAAGATGAGGACAATAGTCCGACTAATGTAAATAATGTACATAATACCTCATCTCAGAAATATAGACAGACTCGTTTGTAAATTAGAAAATCATAATAAAAGCAGGAATAGTCAGACTTTGTCAGTGGTATTTAATAAAACGTATATATATATATATATATATATATATATATATATATATATATATATATAATTAAGTAATTCAGCGAGTCTAGAAGAAACGTCAACAGAATGCAGAAAAGAACTAGACGGCCGTTTCGTCCTCTATTGGGGACTCACCAAATATAGGACGAAACTGCCGCCCAGTGCTTCTGCATTTTGTTGACGTTTCTTCAGACTCGATGAATTACTTAATTATAATTATCTGAGATCCTCCTAATTTCTATCACTTGTATATCATTGCTTGAACCGACTTCTAATGCTCTGGATAGATCGGCTTGGGGATAGTAGTCGTGGCTCGTGGGGGGCACAGTCATATGGGTAAAAGAGAAACTCGGAGGAGTTCCACCATGGAATATGTGATCGAGTGGCGCTGTATCGAGTCTAATTCGTTCCCTCTTCGTCACCGAGGCCTGTTGGTACAGTTGGTATGATGTTTGCCTGATAACGTAACTGTCCGCGTTCCAATTCTCAGTAGTGGATGGGCACTGCTGATGAGTCCCAAATATAAGACGACACGGCCGTCCAGTGCTTTCTTCATTCTGTTGAGGTTTCTTTCGATGAATTGCTCAATTATAATTATCTCAAAACCTCCTAATTTCTATCACATATATATATATATATATATATATATATATATATATGCAAGATGCTATTCGTAAATTGCCGCCATATTATATTTTTAATTTCGCGCATTGTTTGTTTGTGATTTTGTCCACTGCACTGTATATTAGGGTAAGTTGGGAACCGTCTATGAGAAAAAAAGCACTATGACGTAATTCACTCCGCCTGAAATGGCATACTGTACTGGTTGGCATTCGCTCCGGAAGCTCCAATACAAACAGTTCAAAATGTTTAGCTGTCAATCCGAGGCCAGTGCAGAGGATTCGGAAAGAGTTGGATGAGTCTAATGATGATTAAGAAGGTACGACAGCTAGGAATGTTTTTTTATAAGAAAAGAACTTGCGAATTTGTTAGCGAGGGCCTCAGACTCAATACGGGAGCCTACATCAAGTGCCTTGAGGAGGTAATGCTACCCTGGGTAAAGAGGGTGTATGCTAGAAGACACTATGTCTGGCAACAGGACTCTGCATCATGTCACGCAAGCTGGAGAACCCAGACAATTTCTGCGGCCACATCATCCCTTACATCGGACCACCTAACTCCCCAGACTGCAATCCCTTTGATTATTATGTCTGGGGCGCAGTTGAGCAAGAGACCAACAAAACTCCTTGTAACATCAAAAATGAACTGAAGGCAAGGATTATGGCGGCATTCACTAACTTAAATAAGGAGACCGTCCAGAAGAGTTGCAGGAGATTCTGAAGTCGTCTGGAGGCCGTGACTGAAGCAGATGACGATTTTTAAAAAAAAAAATATACCCTTTAGTATTCAAGATATTTTTATGTCATTTTTATCCATGATATTAGGTTGGTGCAAAAATAATGTCGTTTTCTCTTTTGAAGTTGAACGTCAAAAAACGACATTATTTTTGCACCAACCTAATATATGACGGTTTGATGATCGACATTTTGGCGTAAAACACCAAAGAGTAATGGTTCGGGGTCGGTGTATTTCTGGTGACTATTATTACGGCCTAGTCTTGAATTTCCATCTCGGGATTCTTCATAGGCATTGCATTTTTGTTGTTATATAAACTAACTAATGCGGGGGAATAGAGATGGACGAGAAGTCGAAAGAAATAAATGGACAAAGGATAGATAGATAGATAGATAGATAGATAGATAGATAGATAGATAGATAGATAGATAGATAGATAGGGTGGGAAGAAACTACAAAATTAGAAGAGAAAGCGAGCAAGAAAGAAAGAACAAACACGAAGAAACAGAACAAAAGATATAGCATAGGAAAAAAGATAGATAGATAGATAGATAGATAGATAGATAGATAGATTTGTAAAGTATCCAAATAGATATGTAAAGAATGAGATAGATAGATAGATAGATAGATAGATAGATAGATAGATAGATAGATATGAACAGACTGAGATAGATAGATAGATAGATAGATAGATAGATAGATAGATAGATAGATTTGTAAAGTATCCGAATAGATATGTAAAGAATGAGATAGATAGATAGATAGATAGATAGATAGATAGATAGATAGATTTGTAAAGTATCCGAATAGATATGTAAAGAATGAGATAGATAGATAGATAGATAGATAGATAGATAGATAGATAGATAGATAGATAGATAGATAGATTTGTAAAGTATCCGAATAGATATGTAAAGAATGAGATAGATAGATAGATAGATAGATAGATAGATAGATAGATAGATAGATTTGTAAAGTATCCGAATAGATATTTAAAGAAGGAGATAGATTGATAGATAGATAGATAGATAGATAGATAGATAGATAGATAGATAGATAGATAGATTGGAACAGCATTAGATAAATAGAAATAGAATTAGATAGATAGAAATAGATAGATAGATAGATAGATAGATAGATAGATAGATAGATAGGGTGGGAAGAAACTGCAAAATTAGAGGAGAAAGTGAGCAAGAAAGAAAAAACAAAAAGGAAGAAACAGAACAAAAGATAGATAGCATAGGGAAAAAGATAGATAGATAGATAGATTTGTAAAGTATCCGAATAGATATGTAAAGAATGAGATAGATAGATAGATAGATAGATAGATAGATAGATAGATATGCAAAGAATCCAAATAGACATATAAAGAATGAGATAGATAGATAGATAGATAGATAGATAGATAGATAGATAGATAGATAGATAGATAGGGTGGGAAGAAACTAAAAAATTAGGAGAGAAAGCGAGCAAGAAAGAAAGAACAAAAACGACGAACAAAAGAAAGAAAGACTGAAGGAAACAGTGAGAGAGGAAGAGGCCTGACAAATAAAAAGCAAAAATTAAATAAGGAACAATAAAAATGGCGGAAGAAGAAATAACTCTTGCAATATGGACGCTTTCCCATTGAATCACCCAGAATATCTTAATCTTCCATGATCTCATATAAAAGCCCAGTAGACTCAGTCAAATATATTAAGAAAGATCATTTTACGGTACATCAGATATGACTGGAAGACATTCGTTTTTCCAATATGGACCCAATTTTGCATATTTCTAACAAATATTTCGAGGAAAAGTCACGGGTTTCAAATGCTAAAAGTTATGTTAAATTTCTACTGCCCTGCAATATTTGTTAGATTTATGTTAAGGAATAACTACATACATACATACATACATACATACATGCATATATGTTATGGGATCTTACCCTAATAATAATAATGGACTATTCCACACTTAATACTGCGGCTCAGGAGTAGGCAAGGAGTCAGTAGTTCAAGTCGAGTCAAGAGTCGAGTCAGAGGTAGTCCGAAACAGAGTCGCGTTCAGACAATTACTGCAAGACATTGGAATAATGACACTGGTCGAGACTACATTGTTCTCTCTACTAAACCTGATTGTTCATATACTACTTCACTTCTCTGTATATATTCCATATCTGTGTTATTCCATATCCGTGTTCGAGTTCTTCTTTATTGGTTCTACCTTGGACTATCACCGTGGTACAAGGAATCGGACCATAACAAATATATATATATATATATATATAATATATATATATATATATATATATTTATTTATATTTATATTCAAGGGATATGATCAAAGTATAGGGACTGGTGCTATAAAAGAAAATTACAACACATATCGATTAGGCATTTAATTGCCTTCGAAATAGTCCCCTTTCTGAAGCCCACACCTTATCCAGTACTGTTTCCATTGATGGAAGCAACCCTGAACTCATTATTATATTTATATATATATATATATATATATATATATATATATATATATATGAAGAAATATAGTCTTAAGGGTGCTATATTTATGGGATGAAGTGCTCAATATCAGAGATATAGAGTGTGTAAATATAAAGTGAACATTAAGTCAACACTTGTAACAGGCTGTTTTGGCAAGACGATTGCTGTTTATTGCGTCAGACTGTCAAACAGATGTTGACTTCAATGTTGACTTTTATATATATATATATATATATATATATATATATATATATATATATATATATATACATAGTTTATGAAAAACTAGGTAATCCGTATGGGTAAACCTAAGGAGGATAAAATCCAGAGAGCTCAATGTAAATCCAGAGCAAATAATTAAAATAAAAACAGACCACTTTAAGGTTCCATGTCATAAATTATTTCACCACAGCCCTTTTAAAAGGACTGCGGATCATCAGACTTTACTTCCAAACAAAAAATGAAAAGAAAATTTACACATTTTTGACGGGCCGTATTAAACATATGTAAATTAACGTTGTGAGGAAGTGAGGGGAGAGAGAGAAGACATGAGTGAGTTAGCAGATATTGACACATTTAAACGGTTAACTTAACGGAAGTTATATATTGAAATCGAAGGGGTAGAGAAGAAAAAACTCATAGAGAAAAAAAGAGAAGGAAGTTATGAGAGAAGGTGTCACTAATTTTCTTTGTAAAAAAAAAGGCTAGAAACAGACGCTGTTATTTTGTTTTACTTTGAAAGTGTTATTTTGGGGGTTTATAAAGATTATAATGTTTGATATAAATTTGAATGTCTCTAGACTGTCTACAAATAATTTAATTTGATGTTTGTTAGTGATTTAATTTTTTTTTTCAATTTGGGGGATTTTCTATGAAATAGTCGGTTACAAAAATATTCATAGAAAGTACATTAAAAAAATAAAATTTTATTTTAAAATATTAGTTTACTTCTAGTAATCTTTTTTTTTTAATCTCTTTAAAAAAATTTATCATTGATTATTAAGTTGGCATCTCTATCCGTTTGAATTTTGTCCATGAATTTAACTCGTGACTGTTCCTAGATAGGTAATCTCTTTTACTTAAATTTTAGCTAAGTTAATATGGGGTAATATGTATATATATATATATATATATATATATATATATATATATATATATATATATATATATATTAAGTTAAGTTTAGTTAAGTTAATATGGAGTAATATATATATATATATATATATATATATATATATATATATATATATGTATATATATATATATGCAAAGATAATAACTATTGCAATTTCAGAGCCCTTCTATATAAAGAGCAAACAAGCAAGACAAAATAAGAATAGTTATGAGTATAGCTACAATGTTTTTAAATGTCTATAATAGCAATGTTTTTAAAATGTTTAAAATTATAATTATATAAATTACAGTTACCTGCCTTCGATCAAAAAACATGACAAAATGGTTTATCTTTAACAGTTTATTCTAAATTAATTATAATAGAACACGATCATCAGTTATGTGCCATGCGTGATACACACTTAAGCGATCATGTATCTTGAGACGAGACAGATTTTTTTCCCGCAGTAGGTTGCCATTTCTTTCTGCGGTAGACCAGTTGCAATCCAAGGCTATAGAACCCGGCCTGTCCTGCTATTTACCCACAGCTGGTGGGAGAAGTAGTGGATTCCTATCTCTCCAAAGGGTATTAGCATTTAAGCGAATGTAATGGACTCGACTGGAATTCGAACTCAGATCTCCTATTACTCAATCCAAGCCGATATTCATTACTCCAATGTGCATACGTATTTAAAACAGAACGCGTTTCTTGTGCATTTACAAAGTCATCACAAATATAAATTACATTTATTTTTTGTCTTAGGAATTCAACCCAGAAGATGATCTCGGATGAGATTGAAACTACCTGGGATTATAAAAGAAAATATAAAACTACGGCGCCTTTCTTAATGAATTTAAAATCAACATTAAGTCAATCAAAGAATTCGAATAAAAAAAAATAAACATATGTCCACATTATTCAATCAAAGATGCTACAATATACATATATATATATATATATATATATATATATATATATATATATATATATACACTGCGTGCCAAATTATTATCGAGATAACTTTTTTTCTAATATTTCAAAAACCGTCCAATCAATTCACAGAAAATTTTCACACAATATTGGCAACACTGACCTGCGCAAATACTGAAGTTTTCGTACTGATTTGTCCAATGTAAACAAACTGGCACCATATTTGTTATCAGCACGGTGATTTGATCGTGCCAAATTATTAGGAAAGTGTAAGAATTTAGTGAAAAGATGGGTCGTAAAAGCAGTTTAAGTAATGCTGAAAAGAAACCTATCACCTCAGAACTCTCAAAAGGTAAATTTCTAAAATGATAGGGAGGTGTCATCAAACAGTGAAAAAGTTCACCGCCGACCCTACACAAGTGCGCAAAAGGGCAGATAAAGGCAAGCCGAGGGTTATTTCACGTCGTCTTATGTTACGACTTAAACGTGAGGCTACGAAGAACCCTGGACTTATCATTCAAGAGCTTTTCAGTCGCATTGAGGATCCTACTGTGTCTAAAAGTACTCGGTGTCGGTATCTGAGGGAAATAGCAACAACAGTCAAACCTGTATCGAAGCCTCCGTTGACGAGAAATCACATTCAAAATCCATTGAAATTGGCCGAGGACAATATGAAGATTGACTTCTCTAAAGTTTTGGTCACAGACGAAAGTCGAGCAACACTTGATGGGCCACATAGATGGTGCAAAGCTTGGGTAATGAACGGACAGAATCACCATCAGCGTTTGAGACGCCAACAAAACGGTGGAGGCATAATGATCTGGGGTGGTATTATTGGAAAAACATTAGTGGGCCCATGTAGAGTACCAGGCGGCGTCACAATGAATGCTGATGCGTACATGACGTTTATGAAGGAGTATCTTGAACCGTGGATGAAAAGGCAAAGAATTGCCTTCAGAAGGGCCATTGTTTTTATGCAAGATAATGCTCCCTCACACGCTGCTCACAAGACTACTGAATATTTGAAACAGTTAGGCTTCGATGGACCTCGAAAAATGAAGTGGCCAGAAAATTCTCCGGATTTGAACCCAATCGAAAACCTTTGGAGCATCATGAAGCGAAGACTGTACGCCAACGGACGACAATTCAGGAGCAACGCTGAGTTGTAGGAAGTAATTCTTGACACATCTCGCGGCATTACAGCAGATGACATTCTACAATTAACAAATTCTATAGATCGTCAACTTCTTCAAGTAATTTCAAAACAGAGAAAGCACATACCCTATTAATTTGTTTAAAACTGTGCCTTTGTTTGTATTTGTTACTATTTGTTTGATTATCTTATTTGTTAGCTTCTTTTGATCATAAATATTCACGTGCAACATTAAGAAACGTTTCGTTTGCTCAATTCTGGGAATTTTACTAAACCTTTCTAATAATTTGGCACGCTCAAATCACAGTGCTGATAACAAATATGGCGCCAATTTGTTTACATTGCGCAGATCAGTACGAAAATTTCCGAGATTGCCCAGGTCAGTGTTGCCAACATTGTGTAAAAATTTTCTGTGAATTGATTGAACGATTTTTGAAATATTAGAAAAAAGTTAACTCGATAATAATTTATATATATATATATATATATATATATATATATATATATATATATATATATATATATATATAATACCCACCATGACAGTACTACTTGGAGTTTCATGCACTATGCAATCGTCAGGTGTTGAGTGCTGATCACAGTCTGGTTAATATTTCATTTATTTACATCGATATATATATATATATATATATATATATATATATATGTGTGTATGTGTGTGTGTGTGTGTGTGTGTGTGTGTGTGTGTAAACACTTGCGTGTACATTTATTTATATTTATTTATTATTATATATATATATATATATATATATATATATATATATTGAAAATTCGGATATATTTAACCATTAAACATCAAGTGTCATTGGCGCAAAATAAAATACAAATTGAATGCTTTTTTTCAGTCTAATGGAATGAGCAAAACACGGATCTGACAATGGCGCATGCGCAGTATTTACGAATGTGATTTTTTTAGTGCATTCCATGGCCGCCTTAATGGCATCTATTTTTCAAATGACAGCTC